AAATGAAAGGAATACTCAGTCGTTGTACCAAAAATAATTTGTCAGTGCTTAACTATTAGAAAAGGTACGAATGATGAAGAATCAATAGTACTGAAGGAAAAAAGTCCAAGCTGCGCTGAAGACATTGGGGAAAAACAATGCTCCAGGAATGTATGGAATACAAATAGAAATGTTTCAACAAACTGATGCAGTGCTGAAAGTGCTCACTTATGTTAAGGGATTTCAAAGAGATACATATTTGTTTCCATTCCAATGAAAGGTGATTCAATCAAATGTGCAAATCATTCAACTGTATTATTAATATCACCTGCAAGTAAAATTTTTCTGAAGATCACTCAAAAACAGTTGCATCCATAGACAGAAAAGGAGCTGCCAATACACAAGAGGATGTGAAACTAGCAATACCATTGCTATGTCAGATGGGTCTTGGCTAAAAGCAGAGAATATCAGAAAGATGTTTACTTGTGCTTTATTGACTATGCAAATTCATTTGACTATGGGTATAGTAATACATTATGGATAGCATTGAACAAAATTGCAATTCTGTAACACTTCATTGTGTCATGAGGAATCTATACATAGACCAAGAGGTAGTTGTTAGAATAGGACAAAGGACTACTAAATCATTTAAAATCAGAAAAGGTGTGCATCATGGTTGTATAGCATTTGCATCATACATATTTAATCTATGTGCTAAACAACTACTCTGAGAAACTGCATTATATGAATAAGAATGTGGTATCATAAATGAAAGAAGGCACATTTACAAACTATAATATGGAGACAACACAACTTTACTTGCTGAAGCAAAGAGAACTTTTACTGATGAAGATCAAAGACTACAGCCTACAGTATGAATTGCCTCTCAATGTTAAGGAAATGAGAACATCATGATGAATGGAGTTAAGTTGGAAGTTGCCAAATAGTTCATTTTATTTGGATCCACAATCAACTTTCATAGAAGCAGAAGTCAAGAAATCAAAAGGCATGCTGTGTTGGGAAAATCTATTACAAAAGACCTCTTTGGAGTGTTGGGGAAGACGGATCTCACTTTGAGAACTAAGGTGCACCTGGTCACAGCCATGGCATATATTCAATCATCTCACATGCATGTAAAAGTTGAACAATGACCTAAGGAAGCCTTAGAGCAATCAATGAATTTGAATTATGGTGTGTTGGCAGAGAACATTCAAAGTGCAATCAACTGGCAGAAGAGCAAATGTACATTGGAAGAAGTAAAGCCAAAATGCTCCTTAGATGCAAGAATGGTAACATTGTGTCTCTAGTTCTTTGGATATGTTGTCAGGAGGGACCAGTCCCTTGAGAAGGACATCATGCTTGGTAAAGTGGAGGGCTAATAAAAAAAATGAGGACCACTATGAGATGGATCAACACAGAGGCAGTAACAATGGGTTCAAACATAACAATAATTGTGAGGATGATGCAGGACCAGGCGGTGTTTTGTTCTGTTGTGCATAGGGACACTAGAAATCAGTTGGCACTGACTAGATGACACCTAACACATTGTCATATCTTTCTCCTACAGAGGAAACCTGATGGGTTCAAATCACCAACCTGTACCAGCAGAATGCTTCTTATCCATTACTCCACCAGAGCTCTTCTTCCAGAGTATTACTTACTCCTTAACCTAATTCTTGCCACCATTAGTAGGTTCTTGACTAATTTCCTACAACAGCCCCATTGCTTTATTTGCTTGTAAACTTGATGTCCAGCCTAAACTATCAGTGTGATTCCTCTGCCCACCAACTTGAGTCCTTTGATTCTTAGATTGTCGTGTCTGAATATAAGAAATAACTATCGCATCATTACTTTAAAAAAATTTTCAACACATCTAAATGCTCACATCCTATAAGCACTCAAGTATCTAGGTGAAATATTGATAATCATAATGTCTTTGACAGTGCTCAGAGAAAGCTCAAGTTTCTTGCTCAGTAACTAACGTGCATGAGAATCAAATAATTTCTGTGTGTTCATCTAAATTTCATCTATTTTTAACAGAAATCTTCCTTCCCCAAAATGTTCAAGAATTCCTGACACACCAAGTGATATGTTATAATCTGTTTGAAGTAATAAGTTAAGCATGTCTGTTAAGCATCACTTTAAAAAATACATATATAGAGAGAGCTATGGAATTAAAACAACAGCATCACACACACACAAACACAAACAAAAAGAATAAGAGGAAAACACAAAGAAAAAGTATTCAATAAAATTAAGAAGGTAAAAGATCAGGTAAATTTAAAGGATAAGTAAACCAGGTAAGAGGTTAACAAGCAGGGTGATATTCAGAAAGACATTTTTAAAAAGAGGGGTGGGATGTGCATATTTTAAAGTCAAATACTTGGTTTAATCAACAACAATCCTATGTAGGCATATGAAACACAAACTGGGTGACCATTCCCCAGTAGAAACCACTTTCATTTTTTTCTTTAAAGACAATTTCAAATATTTTCCTTGGGGAAAAAACAAAACAAAACCATTACGATAATTTTAGTTCCTATACTTAAATTTTAGTTCCTATACTTAAATTTTAGTTCCTATGCGGGATTTCTGGTTCTGTGGGTAACTGCACTGGACTGCCAAGTTGGTTTGAACCACAAGGTCGGGTGGTTCAAGCTCACAAGTTACTCCTTGAAAACCCTATACAGGGAACCAGCCCAATAGCACTGAACAACAACATACTATGAATGTAATATCTCACAGCATGTGAAATAGGATTGCTTTTCTAACTATTTTTATCTTATTCGTCAGTCATGAAATGATATATTCAGTCATTCACAACCAATTATCAAAATGTTTACTAATGGTTACTATAGCAAATAATAAAGTAAATGCCTTAGATTTCCCCCTTATTTAGCTACTTGTAATATAAATGTAGGAACTGCCTTGATGGCACTTCACAACAACAACAAAACTATAATTCACTGTAGGTATTTTGATTTGGGAAATTATCTTATGTTCAAAATTATTTAGGATTATTCAGTTCAGAATGGAATATTTCATTCTATTGTATATAGGGTCACCAGGAATTAAGTTAACTGAACAGATACTAACAACAACATGGCAGCCCGGGCTATAGTGCTTCCTAAGTGCAGTACCACTTAAAAGTGCTCTCTCTTCAGAAGCAATCACTAGGGCTCTATGATGCCTTGACTCATTGATAAGCTGCCATAATTTTGTCTTTATGATTTCCAGAGGGAGAGGTAAATCCACTTTAGCAGGCACACAGAATACCTTGCCAAATTCCATCAACATGGACAGGTACGTAATAAAAACCTTTCTTGGTGAAAGGGTGATGTGCCTTACTTTTCTATTGAATAATTCCATTTTACTGTACACATGGAAACATTTCAATGAACAACAATGCAGAGATCATTGATGATGAATGAAAAATCCAGAAGGGTGATGTGGAGGTTTTCTAATTGCTATTTGGAAATATACCACAGTATCACATTTTCTATTTCTATGAATGATTTGCACATGGAAAAGTAAATCCACTTTAGCAAACACAAAGACTGTCTCGCCATATGTCAAGACACGTACAAATAGAAAACTTTTTTGGTAAAATGGTAATGTGCCTTCGTTTTCTATTGAATAATTTCATTTTCTGACCACATAGAAGCATTTGAATGAACAACAATGAAGAGGTCATTGATAATGCATGAAGTATCTGCAGAGGTGATGTGGAGATTTTCTGTTATTTGAATAAATGATACCACCATATCAGAGAAAGAATGGTTAATTTACTCTCCATCCCATTTCCAGATCCTCTATTTTGAGTTATATAATAACCAGTGATATTAAAATTAAAACTACTACAAAATTCATGCCTGTTGTTTTTGCTAAGTGCTTTAGAGTGGGTTCTGACTCACAGTGACCCTGAATTGGGTTTCTGAAAACCAGCTGGTGAGTTTAAATGGCTGATCTTGTGATTTTTTCCTACTGTGCCACACCAAGATGCCTACCTTCTTATATATGTATATTTCATGTAACAAATAAAAAATATACATATAAGGTTTGATAATTTTCAATGCAAAAAAAAGTTACAAATGTTTCTACTGATTATTTCCTTTTTTGTTGTTGTTGCTTTACAAACGCTAGCAGAATTCTAATTCATTTACATTTTTTTTTTTGTCTACTGGTAAAGGCTTTACAAATCTTGGAAGAATTCTAAATATTCTGCATATTGTTGAGTAATTTTCCCAAAAATATTCATATAAGGTCATATAAATTTCTATGATTTATTTTCTAAAGAATGGGCCATTTGTTTAGGAAGCCTAATAAATTAGTACAAGTAACATTAGCTCAAACAAAACAATAAATGACCTGTTACACATATTATAAAAATCTGGTATCATAGTATAAATGTTAATAGAGCTAAAATATTAATAAAGATATACTGCAGGTCCTTTGAGGTTGAGGGATACATTGGACAGAAGAGCCAATGGAAACCCCAAATCTACTATTACTAAACATCCTAAAACATTGAAAAATTAACTAAAAACAGAGTTTGATTTATTTAAATAGTTAACAAAAATTTATTGCAAGAGATATTTTTTCACTGAATTTACAGTTTCGAGGAACATGGTACAAAACATAGTGCCATCAGCTTTGTCTAAACATTAAATGGGTGCAAGTACACAAAGATTAAAAAAACCAAAGAGTATACTTTACAACATAAATTACAGTACTATAAATATATTTTATATACATTATACATATTCTTAAGACATCATTTTAATATACAGCATATATTGTATTGATTTTCAAACTATTCAGTGCTTTAATATTATTATATATCAGAAAATTAAGAATATATTTGCATCATTACACTTACAGTAAATGATTTCAAATGAATGAGGCTATCTTCTGACCAGTTTATTGTCATTATTTGAAGAGCCATTTATCCTCTTAGATGAGCACTTAACGCATATAGCAGTAGTTTCACAAAGGTGTTTCCTTTCCCTTTATAGTAGTGATTAAAAGAGAGGTTGCAGAGGAATGACTGTAGGGTGTGGGGAAAGCAGGGAAGGGAAGAGTGTATTGGATAAAGGTGGGAAAGCTAAGTGACTAGAATGAAGAACTGAAGCTGGAATTATTGGCATTTGAGGAGGAGCCACAAAAGTCTGGTGGTTCCCAGGAAAAAGCCTAGGTCCTACTGAAATCTGAGGTAATGATGTTCTAGATAAAGATGGGACTTGAGAAAGTAACTGTTGGTGTGGCTGAAGCACTTTAAAGGTTCCTGCAGCTGCAGCAGCGGCGGCGGCGGCTGCGGCTGCTGCATGCTGCTGCAAAACAGTGTGGTGGATCCTAGTTACAGAGGTAGAACATAAGGGCTGTTGCAAAGTTAAAGGCTGCAGAGGTGTGCTAGGGGGTGGAAGGGCAGTTGGAGGAAAGGTAAATTTGACCTTGTTGGCCAGCATGCTTGGCTGTATAATATGTTGGTAGGCCTCACATGGCAGATCTTTGAATCTGTCATGGGTTTCTAGTGGGATTAATAATGCTTGTTCTGGTAAAGCTAATGGAGCCAGAATTTGCTCAGCTGTTACAAAGGCATGGCCACTGACATGTGCTTCTTTGAATTGTAAAGGTGGTTGTGTGTTAAGAAGTCCTGGATTATACCGTAGCCATTCAGTTGATGGCTCGTTTATCTTTCCTTGTGGAAGAGCCTCAGTCAGTTCATAATGGCAAAGGTATGATTTAGGTTGTGCCTGTTTAAAGTTTCTTTCAATACTGGGCACTTTGGAAGGAATTTGTTTTTCATTAATATTAATAATCTCACATCTTTTCTTGTGTTCAAGCAATGTATTTTCAATTACTACTTTTGTTGGAACACTAGCTACATAAAAAGATGTAGTAGGGTCACTGGAAACCTCTGAAAATTTACCAGAAGTGGTCTCCATAACTACGTGTTCAATTTCACCATTGGTTTCAAGTGGAAGAAGATTGGTTGAGTCCAAAGTCAGGTTGTTTTCGACTTGGTCTGTTTTTTCTGAGTTACTTTCAGTATTTGTAATTTCATGTGGTTTTATTTCTTCTTTTTTGTCTTCATTTAACTCATCCACATTGCTTACGGAAGCATTATCTTTCATGAGATAATTTGAATTCTCTTTAGGTTCCAAAGCTTCAAATCTAGTGTGCAGCCTGCTTCTTTTTCTCCTCCGTTTCTTTTTAGGCTTACAAGGAGCAACTGAAGTACTTGATGGCCTCAAATTTTCCCCTGGTAAATAATTCTGATGGTTTAAACTTTCATCTGAAGAATAAGAATATGAATGTTGTCTACGTTTTCTATGGAATCTTTCTGATTCAAGAGAATTATAACCTCTTTTAACAGCCTGCTTTTGACTCATGTATTTCACATCTTTCTGAAGAACTAAGCATTTGTGATTTGGGGTACAGCTTGACTTTTTGCATTTCAAACCACAGAAAGTTCTGGAATATGTCAAATTTTGTTTTCCAGAATGTATCATGGTTGGGTTTGATTGTCCATTTAAAACAATTGTGTTTTTTCCGTAGGGGGTTTTAGAGTTGGCAGCATCACTGTTACTGTATTTGGTGTATTCACTTAGGTATGGCGATACAGATTTGGGTGTATTATCAGGTAAGTGATGTGATTCTGGTAATTGTTTGGCAATTAAATGCTGCCTTTTTGAAACTGTTTCCAATAGATTTGAACCAGTTTTATCATTGTAATTATTCTCCATTTCTGTTTTACAATGAAATTCTAATTCTTTGGTTTTCTCCCCATGATGGTGTTGGTATAACTTTCTTTTTCTTTTTTTTCTTCTACTTTTATGAAACCAGTGTTCATGAGTATCTTTCAATCGTATTTTGTTGTATTTCTTATCTAAAGTATCCTGTTTTAGTTGTTTTTTAGTGTTGTTATATTTTTCCGTGCTTCTTGTTCTACATGAAATATTTTTAATTCTCAGACCCACATTTCCATTTTTTCCAGAAGCATAGCTCTTAGAGAGAGTTTCATCAGATAACAGAGGAGTGACTTGACTGTATTCTCTTCTACTACCTACAATTTCATAACCAATGAGACCTGTGAAAGATGTGGCCTTGTCCTCTGAAACTAGTGCCTTGCAAATGTCTTCTCCTTTCTGCTGAGTGTTAGGATCGTTTAACAACAGTTTATTTTTATCTAGATTGTTGTTTAATTTGGTGGACTTGAAGTCAAAACAGAGAGGATTGCAACTATAGGAGATTGATGGCTTGGCAGTTGTGTAAATAAGCATTTCTGATGGCCACTGAAGAACTGTTGACCCATGTTTGTTAAGTACGGGTACAAAAGGCTGACATTGTCTTTTACATAAACCTGTTTTTTTATGTAAGTTTATATTTTCCTCTTCAATATTTGAAAATGCCAAAATGTCAGGATCACAATTTTTACTTTCAACTTCAGTTGTGGATGCATCATTGTTCTTAGCATTTGCCTCCATAGTAGCTTGCAAAGACAAGCCATCAGTGCATACATCAAAAACTGTGGATTTATTTTCTAACAATTTACAGCTGCCACAATTCATAGACATGTCTCTATTAATAATGACATCTTCTGGTGAGATCTTATCTGCTACTGAAACTGAAGTTTGGCAATTATCTGCATCAGGAGATAAAGGGGATTGAGGGTGGCAAAATGGAGGTAATAATAATGTATCTTTTTTACTAGAGACTTCTTTCAACTCTTGAGTTTGAAGAGTATCTTCTTTGTCAGAGCACATTTCCTCTGGTAGATGAAAAGTGTTAGCTTTCTCCTCAGAACTCAAAAGAGGATCTGTTGGTGAAGATAGTTGAAGATGACAAGCATCAGGAAGAAATCTCCTTTTTCTGCTAAATCCTTTTCCCACAGAGGCATCATCATTGTATTCAGAAAAGGCTGCGGCTGAGGACTCCAGTCTCACTGATGCTTTCTTTGGAAATGCAAAAGAAAAGCCTATTTTGTGTCTGTGAATTCCCAAGGCTTGATCCCCAAGTTGGTTATTTTTTGCTCTATAATTATTTGCACTTTCGGAATTTGCAGCAACAGTGGTAACATCTTCAGAATTCTCTTCACTACGAATCAATGGATATTTTAATTCTTCCTGGTTATTAACTGAATCAACAACTTTTTGTGAAATGTCATTAAGATTTTCTCTCACAGTAACAGTTGTTGACTTGAACATGGGGCCACTTCCAGGAGCGCTACAAAAAGAAATAAAATTTATGTTACATAATAAATGCACTTTTGAGGGGAAATATATATAAACATATATCTTAGAGATTCCATTTAACATATTATTTTTCAATTTTTGAAAATCTCTGTGAGAGAATATATAGTTCTCTTTTTAATTTCATCGGGTCTCATTGCCTTCTCTAGCATCACAATTTCCCTTCAGTTATTAGTTATTCTGGATAACTTGGGAATGGTATTTTGAAGTTACTTTCACAGCTCATTTCTGTGTTCTCAACCAATGCTTCCTTAACAAGATTTTCAACCCACAAGACCTCCTTAGTAACAACCAAACGGTTGTAAAATTCCTAACCTTTCAGTCCAGTGCATTATCCTGCAATGCCACAACAGGACTCTGTATAAATTATATCATAATCCAGCGCTTATCCTAAAACACCACACCAAGAGCCCATGGAGTGCCATAATGCAGAATAAACAGAATTAACAAATGAAGTAAATAGTATTTTATTCTGTATTTAATGTAAAAATTATATCGTTGTTGTTGTTGTTAAATGTCGTAGAGTCAGATCCGATCCATAGCGACCCTGTATAGGGTTTCTGAGGGGCGACTGATGAGCTTGAACTGGCGACCTTGCAGTTCAAATCGACTACAACCCAGCTCATTAACCTATAGCATCACACCAGGATTCTAAATTATATCATAGCATACATTAAATATAGAATGAAAGACTGTTCATTTAATATGCTATTTCTATTTATTTTGTATTATGGCACTCCATGGGGACCTAGTGTGGTGCCATAGGATAAACACTGGACTGCTAATCTCAAGGTCAGTGGTTCAAACCCACCAGCTGCTTCTAAGAATCCCTATATAGGGTCTCTGAGTTGAAGCTAACTTAATGCCACTTAACAACAACAATAACATTCCATGAGTCATGACTTCTGATTTATAAAATGATATTGCCCAAAACATAAATGTAAGAAATCTCTAAACAGTGTCCTCACCTAATAAAATCAACTTGTGCAACATTTTCCATGTTATTTTCAACATTTCTTAAAAGTTATAACTGGTCCCAAACTTTGTTAGTTGAATATTTCCTTTATGTAACAGTTAACATTATGGAGTGTGGGCTAATGGTCAGACTGCAAAGTCATTTGAACTGCAAGGTAGGTGATTCAAGCTCACCACCTGCTCCTTGGAAACCTTCTACAGGGTGGCTTGGTTTGGAATAGACTCTACAGCCCTTAACAACAGCAACAGCAAGTACATTGTCTAATACTAAAATACAGTACCACTTTTTATTTTCATATTTTTATATGCACAGAATTAATGGAAAGTAAGAGTCCTGGTGTGGCGCTGCATGTTAATGCGCTAGACTGCAAGGTCCATTTAACCACATATCAGTGGTTCAAGCTCGCCAGCCACTCTTAGGAAACCCTATCGAGTGCTTTATCCCATAGTGTCACACCAGGCCTTATATATTAGAATTAACATTTGCAAAGGCTACTTGAAGAGCATTAAATAACATAGACATATGATTCTCTATGGAGTCCTGGTGTGGCGCTGTAGGTTAATGCGCTGGACTGTAAAGTTAGTTTGAACCACAAGGTTGGTGGTTCAAGCTCACCAGCCACTCCTTGGGAACCCTATACAAGGTCGCTATGAGTCAGAACCAACTCGACACCACTTAACAACAACAACAACATGATTTGCTACAAAATAAACTTAATTTTTAAATTTATTACCACACAATGTAAAATTATCTACTTAATATAACTGAATCTATACATGCTATCACATTTAAAACCTGTTTTTGAACTTGAACTAAATGCAGTTGTGCTTGTCTGTATTATTAAATATAGTTCCACATAGGATTCTAAATACATTTACATCATATTTTTATTTTTACAAAGCTTTACACTGCAAATAATATTTTTAAAAATGTTTTCTTGTGAATTATGTGACAGTGTACATGGGAGAACATTAGCTTTACATTCATCTTATCGTATACCGATTCATTGCCATGGTTACAAATAATGTTTTGATATATCAAAATGCCATTGTAACACTTTGAGTATAGACTAGATTAATCAGCGAGGGCTTACTTACTACTCTGGAAGACATTATAAAAAGTGATCTTTGCATAAAGCTATCCTGGCTTGAATTCCAAGGTTTATAATACTATTAATTTAACAATAGTTCACTGTTAGAAGCAGGTCCAAGTTTAAGAGTTGAGTTTTTACTACTTCAGATTTTTTTAAGTGAAACTAATTCTGACCTATCTCTGAAGTTTATAGGATCTTTCTTAAAGATATATCTATAGATCTTCTTAAAGATAATCTTAAAAATAAACATCCTTGAAATTCCAAAACTAAATTCTTCTTAAAATTCCATGTATATTACAGGTGAAGAGGCAGGATCTTGTTCTCCTCATCAATTATATGCTTTGTATTTCATCAAGAAACTTAACAACTTTTAACTAATATAGATTAAATAGGAACATAATGAAAAATTCATTTTTTATGAACCAAAATTATAGTAATTTTGGCTTTTTATTGAAGTGTGCATTAAGCAGTTTTTTGCATAAAATTCAAATCCAAATTATAGTTTACAACCCACAAAAAGCCATGAAAAGGTGAATGCCTTATTCAGGGTACAGATATAAATGGATTTGTGCCCTTTATTTCTACCTCCTCTTTTCTTTTGTCTTGTTTGAAGAAAACAACATTTCATTGAACACTCACCATACAGTTTCCTTTCTTAGCTCTGCAAGCTTGTGTAAGCGTTGAAGTGCCTTTTCCTGTTTTCTTCCATCTTTCCTGGATTTAGATGCTACATTTCGAGCAAATTCTCTTTGTTTCAGTTCTTTGAGCCTCTATTAAAAAATATGGAAATGATTAATAATATTTGTGTCTGTGACAATTTTAAAGATGTGGTTGCTGCTACAATTTTCCAATACATTATCTTTTATCTCAGCTAAGAACACACTGTATATGACAATCCATATCTAAAAAAAAAAGTGTTGTTTTGCCTTTATGAAACTGGTAAAGTATATTACAATAAATTAAAGGATACATACTACTCATGTTTTAGGTAAATTAAGAAGCTCTGGTAACACAGTGCTTGGAGACGAAACAAAAGGAATAGCTGTGTAAGTCCACCAGGGACTCCACAGTAGAAAGATGCAGTGGTCTGCTTCCATAAAGATTCACAACTCAGTAAACCCAGGGGATAGTTCTACTTTGTCCTATAGGGTCATTCTATGTCAAAATCAATTCAATGGCCAAGAGTCTAGGTCAATTAAAATTGAAAGCTTTTATCTCTTTTAACTGATTACTGCCCAATAAGGTTCTTTGACTGCCTAATTCAGATGAAGTGTTGAAGTATTGCAAACCTCTAAATTTCAAAGAAATTAAATTCACTCGAGTATTTCATTTAGTTTCATAGTCATACTTTCCATCATATTTTGATTTTTCCAATATTAGAAAGGTATCTTCTCTTTTTAATCATTTCTGAAGAATAGTAAAAATCTAATGTTAATTCTCAATGCAAAGGACCTTGGCAATGTGATTGAAAAACAGCAAATCCACTTCCATTAGCTACCCAGGCACATTACCCAAATCATTTAAGATCCAGAAAGAAAATTAAGCAGTTTCTCTAGATATTATTCATACATTGAGCATTATTTTTCAATTTGTGTGAGAGAAAATAATTTTCCAGGTTGAATGACAGAAAAACATGTTGATTTGAACAGAATTGATAAATAGCCAGATGCTGCTGTTGTTGCTAGGTGTCGTGGAGTCATTTCTGACTCAATAGTGACCGTATGTACAACAGAAAAAGACATTGTTTGGTCCTGCTCCAGTCTGACAATCATTGCTCTGTTTGAACCCACTATTGAAGCCACTGCATCAACCCACCTTGTTGAGGAGGTTCCTCTTTTTCACTGACCCTCAGATTGATGTTCTCCAGAAAATGCCCCCTTCTGATAACATGTCCAAAATACATAGATAAATTATCTCCATCCCTGCTTTCAAGGAACAACCTGAGTGTACTTCTAAGATAGATTCATGCATTCTTCCAGCAGTCCATGTATATTCAATAGTCTTTGACAATACTACAATGCAAAGGCATCAATTCTTCTTCAATCTCCCTTAATCATTGTTCAGCTTTCCCATGCATACGATGCAATTAAAAATACCATTGCATGGATTGTGCACACCTTAGTCCTTAAAGTGACATCACTGCTTTTTAACTATTTAACTTTTTCTTGCGAATTGGGTGGAATTTACAGAACAAATCAGTTTTCTATTAAAATACTCATATTAAGTTTTTTTTTTTCAAATTAATGAGTATAATTCTCTCAGTGAAACTTTACTTATCCCACGTCCTCTCTATGTTTTCTGATTCCATTTCTCCTTCTTTATCAACCTTTCTGTACTTTGTCCTTGGGTAAATACTGCCCTTTTTATACCAAATGATTGATTATTCTAAGGCCTGTGTATCTCACTAGTAGTATCATTCCCCTTATTGGTTGGTTGGGTATGTGCTATGAAGTTGGTTCTGACTCATAGCGACCCTATGTAGGGTTTCCAAGGTTGTAAATCTTTACAGGAACAGAAGGCCTCATTTTTTCCCTGAGGAAGAGCTAGTAGTTTCAAACTGTTAACCTTGAGGTTAGCAGCCCAACTTGTAACCATTCCACCAAAGATAGACATGTCTAATGTTTGCCTGAAAATTGAGTCATAGAGGGAAATTCATTTCTAGACCTGAAGAGTGATGTAAGGCCATAGTCTTGAGAGTTCAATCGGTCTCTATTTGACCAATAAGTCTGGTAATTTTAATGATTTTGAATTTTACTTCACATTGTTCTCTCACTGCATCAACCCTCATGGATATGTTTGCAGCAAAGGTTAATAACCACATACATATATTGCTTGTTTATATATACAAAGATATATATATATTATATGTATTTGTGAGTGTTCTATCACCCTCCAATATTAGTTCAATATACATGGGTAACCATGTATCTACTTGTAGATCATCATAATTGCAGGCCTGTGTATTTAATAGTATTTATCTGTGCTGCCTTTAACTCTTGCACTCCTCTCGATGTCTTCTTCAGCTTTCATCATTTTTGACAATATCCATTTTATTATATATTGCCTTCCTCATCACCCAACTTGAAATGTTTCTAACTTCTAGCCACTACCTTACCTTGCCTTTTCCTCTCACCTCTACGAGACATCAAAGAATTCTTCTCCTACTATAAAAATCTGTTCTTGACTTCTTATAATAGTGGTGTCACACAACATTGTTCCTTTTTTTTAACTGACTAATTTTTTAAAGTGTTGAAGGGCAAAAATGTCAGCTTGAGGACTAAGGTGCGCATGACCCACGCCATGGTATTTTCAATAACCTCATATGCATGTGAAAGCGACACAATGAATAAGGAATACTATAGAAGAATTGATGCTTTTGAGTTACGGTGTTTGAGGAGCATATTGAAAGTGTCATGGACTTCCAAAAGAACCAATAGATCCATTTTGGAAGAAGTACAGCCAGAGTGCTCACTGGAGGCCAAGATGGCCAACTTCGTCTCTCATGCTTTGGACATATTGTCAGGAGGGACCGGTTGCTGGAGAAGGATATCATGTTTGGTAAGGTGGACAGTCAGAGTAAAAGAAGAAACCCCCAGCAAGATGGATTGGCCAAGTGGCAGCATCGATGGACTCAAGCATGGCAACAGTAGTGAGGTTGGCCCAGGATCGGGCAGTGTTTCGTTCTGCTGTGCATAAGGTCACTATGAGTCGGCACTGACTTGATGGCACCTAACAACAACAACAACAACAAGGACAAGCAGACCTGCATGGAACATCTAGAAGAACAGAAGATAATTCTTGAAAGAAAGACCAGCAGGAAAATTCAAAACCCATAACAGCAGTCTAATTGACTACTACAAGAACAAGCAGTTTGTTAACTTGGGAATCATCAAGGCAAGTGGTCAGGTTCCCTCAAGGCAAAACCCCTTCTAAGACTGAAACTAACGTGGAATACATAGCCCGGCATGTGGTCTTGCTGATGACAACGTTGGTTACCAATAAGGGGAAATGGGGTAAAAACAGGAATGAAGTTGTGAGTTAAGTCCAACCACATTCATTAGACTCCTGTTAACCTGGATTGAGACCTGGTTAACCAGCAGTATGACAAGACCTGGGGACTCCTGGGCCCAGGGGCAGGAATATGGTCCCAGAGGACTAGAGTGGAGTGTGAAGCATCCAGTTAATATAAAGTGAGGGGAGATGCACAAGAACGCCCACACTTGCAGATAGTTCCCATTTGACCTGGCATCAATGGCTGGTGGCTGAATGATCAGAACTTGACTAGAAGTAGAAAGAAGAGGAAAAAAAAATTGTAACTTACGACAATTGGATGAACTTGACCTATGCTTGTGGATGCAGTATGGCAAAGGAGTGGACAAATATCTACACTGAGGATCATTTCCAAACCTTTGGTACACAGGGTCAACAAGGATGGAGAACTTAGACATTGGCTACCCAGAATGGGGGGGACCACAAAGGCAAGAAGTGACTGGCTTAGAAGCTTTCAATAGAGAACCTAGGTTCAGGGGGCATGGGGACAATTTGATGAAAGGTGATGGGGATATTTGCTGGAGATGCTGTGTTAATGTGTTAATTTTGATTCTTTCTTCTTTTTTGATGTGTACATTTATCACAATAAGTTGTCCACTCAGCACCACTTTTGATGTATTACAAAGATTTTGGTATTTTGTGTTTTCCATTTCATTTTTTTCTAGGAACTTTCTGAATTCTCATTTAATTTCTTATACTATCCAGTTGCTCTTCAGCAGGGTGTTATTCAGTTTCCATGTACTCGATTTTATCTCTTTGGTTTTCTTATTGTTGATTTCTAATTTTATGGCATTGTGGTCTGAAAAGATGCCTTGTAGTATTTTGATGATTGTAAATTTATGGAGGCTTGCTTTGTGACCTAACACATGGTCAATTCTAGTGATTGTTCCATGTGCACTGGAAAAGAATATATATTGTGCTGTTGTTGCGTCGATTGCTTTGTATATATCTATGAGATTAAGTTGGTTGATTGCGCTGTTTTGTTCCTCCTTTTCTTTGTTGAGTTTCTTTCTGGTTGTTCTATCCCTTTTTGAAAGTAATGTATTAAAATTGCCTCCAATAATTGTAGATTTATCTATTTCTTCTTCAATTCTAGGAGGGTTTGCTTTATATATATCTTGGTGCTCTTTCATTTGGAGTTAATTATGGTTATGTCATCTTGCTCAAGTGACCTTTTAATCATCAGAGATGTTTTTTGCCTTTAAGTTTATTTTATCAGAAATTATTATTGCCACTCCCACTTGTTTTTTATTGCTGTTTGCTTGGTATATTTTTTTTCCATCCATTAACTTTTAGTCTGTTTTGTCTCTGTATATAAGGAATATCTCTTGTAGACAGCATATTGAAGGGTCTTGTTTTCTTATCCATTCAGCTACTCTCTGTCACTTCACTGGTGCATTTAATCCATTGACATTCAGTTTAATTATTGATAGGTATGGATTAACTGCTATCATTATGGTAATTTTTTTTTTTTTTTTTTTTTGTGGTGCTGCTTGTTCCTTTGTTCTACATGCCTTCTTGTGCTGAGTTCATGTTTTTTGTGCTATTTCTTGTTCTTTTTTCTCTTAGTTTTAATGTTTCCCTGTTTGACTTGGATCTTCATTTTCATGATAAATTGAGAAGTATTAATTTTCTTTGGGGTTACCGTGTGGTCTATTGAGTTTTCCCTGCATTTAAGACAGTCTATTGTATTCAGCAATCTACTCGACCTCCTCACCAC